TCTTATTAAGAAATTCAGTAAGCAACTACTCGACTGATGAGAGAGATGTTGACAATTTTTGCTGCAGTGAGGTGCATTCTCGATCATGTTAATAATCTGTATCTAAATTATTCAGATGTGAAACTCATCCTTCTTAAAACATCTGCAACACATATGTGCACTCCGAAATGGTAAAATATTTGCATTCTATAGGCCTTCAAGTTTGTGTAGCATCCCCATATTTACCTGGTTAGTGTATATGTTGGTATGCATTTTGCCTGCACAAGATTGGAAATGGTGATAGATTTGCACAAGACTACTTGCCACTTCTTATAGGATTGGTGAAAGAAGATGAGTAATTGCTGAAATTTGATGTTCTGTGTACAGAATCAAGACATGCCACTGTAGATGTTTTTTTTAAAGGCAGCTAGCTACTTGGATTGCGCAAATCAACAAGAACTCCCTCACATAGCATCAGAACTAAGGTTATTCTTAATTAAGTAGCTCACAAGATCACTTTAAGATTTTTTTTTCACATGAAAATAATAACCTTGACGTTCAAATCTTCTATTGAAACTCCTTTCCTATGTATGAACCTCAGGAGACAACTTCCAGTAGACCTGGCCAATGGAAATCTCAATTCTCTTAGCCTGTAAGAATGTAGCTGTTGATGGTTGCTTGCTGAAGAAGAGTGGTATCAATATTACCATAGAAGTAGATGTTTTTCGAATTATTCTTGATTTTCTATTGTGTTAATATCTCTCTGCTCTGTTTTTAATTGGGAATCCTTGCTCCTTGGGTCCCTGTAAATTGTACAAAAGGTAATTTATCTGAATTTTATGGTCTTTTAGTTTGTTCTGAGCCTCTGAGTTTCCTCAGTTCTTCTGTACCTTTTCTTTGTTGGTTTACATTTATTGGATGTTCCAATGTTATTCTATGTTCATATGTGCAATCGGATTTACAAAACAACAAGCAAAGCAATTTATGAACGTTGCATTTTCTATTTTATCAACGTTGCATTTTCTTAGTTGTCGTTAGTTACCAGATGTGCTAGAACACACACGCATGTGTGCGATTTTGCCCTGGCTTTCTGATTTCTGAATTGAAACGAGTAGGTGCATGGGTTTCTTGACAGAGTCAAGTAGCGGTGCTTTGAGCTTGATGTCCCGTGACCCAGTTCCTTGAACTGGCTAACCCTTATTGATGTCGTATGTCCTGAACTAACTCTCATGACCAAGTTCTCAACACGTCTGACCCTCACAGGCATGTTGTGCCGTGGCTCGATTCATTGCATTGTGATTGAATACATTTAGACACATTAGGATTAGGCGGTCGCCAACATCAGTGAGGGTGGTGAGGAAGAAAAGCGACGACATGGGTCGGCACCGTGTTAAAATAGAGGACATGGACATGTGAGGGAGTCTTGATCCACGCTTATGTCTTAGGGGCATGCGATACTTTTTTTCCTCCCGTTGCAACGCACGGGCAATTTTCCTAGTATTATCCAATGTCGATTACATGACGACTCTACTAATTAATGTAACTAAGTAGCACTAGGAACTACGTATGACGTACGCTCTGAACCCCTAAACGCCAGTTGGTCGATATTTTCTCTTTACCTAAGCAAAACCAACTAAATCGACAATTTGACTCTATATCCAGATAAACATATATCTAATCCTGACGAAACCATCTTCGATCCATGCATCCATCCTTTTGCCACTCTAGCTAGGGTGATTCTGCAACACAAAAACGCGAAGGCGAAAATAATGTCAGAGGCTAAACATAATACTAGTACGGAAATAATTTAAGGCTGTTGTTATATGAGAAATCAAGATAACCTCAAGGTGATGGTGATGGCGCGGGAGAAGCAGCAGCAGCAGGAGGCGCCGGAGACGTAGCTGGAGGCGTCAGCGGCGGCAATGGTTGGGCTGTCATTGCACCACAAGTTAATCAATCTCCTTCAAAGAAGCATATATAAAAGAACACAAAAAACAAGGAAGCCAGAAGGGGTTGGTGCAACTTACATGCGCACGAGAAGATCGTCTGGAAGGGTATCATGGCGCCGCACCTAGCCGGAAGGATGAGCATGCGGATGGGATCGATGGGCTTTGGGAACAGCTTGCTCATGTCGCCATTGTTGTTCAGGCCGTGGCACAGGCAGATCGGCGCGCTGCTGACGACCGACTTGAGTCCATCGCAGCACGCAGCCGGCGGCGAGAACACAGTGATGTTGGTGAGATAGTCCATGCACGGTATCATGGCCGTCAACGGCGTCAGGCACTCCTTCGGCGGCGGCGGGCTTGGCGAAGGAGTGGGGAGTGGGATGTGTGGCATGCCGGGGATCTGGGGCAACCCTTGGGATGGCGGTGCACCAAAGAGGGGAGGCAGGCCGGGGATCTGGGGCAGTGGCGGGAAAAGGGAGCGGAATATTGGTGGTAGGCTGGGCATACCGGGGATTGAGGCAACGGCAGGCTGGGAAGAGACGGGGAGCCTCCATCGGCCGTGGTGGTGGCTGTGGCTTCTTCTTGGTTTGCAGCAGCGGACCGGAGCCTCGCGTCGGACGGCTGCAGCGTCGCGGCGATGGCCAGCAGGGCAAAGAGCAGGGCGACGGTGTGCTTGGAGAGCGCCATCGTGTGCGTGAGGGGAAGGGACGGGCTGGAGAGGAGGATGGATGGATGATGTAGTCGTAGAGAGCATATATATAGCTCCGGCTCGCTGGCAATCTATGTTAGAGATAGAGAGGTTTGAAACTTTGAATGTTTGATTGTATACCTATCTGAATCTAGTCTAGAATCTAGACAAGATTCCTACGTCCAGGAAGAGTACAGTTGGGGTACGCCGTACGTATATGGATGGAATACAAGTCCCTGGACGTCGTCCATTATGCAGATAGAGCTGGACGTTCAAACAAGCTAACCATTTGCATGCAACGTACGGTTGGTGCATAATTCGATTGGTGAGCTAGCTGCGGTTTACAATATTATCTTCTTCTTTTTTCATTTTTGAACAAGAAGTGAGATTTTTATTATACTCCTATATTTGAAAACTTCTCCTGCCTTACTTTTAAATTTGATGAAACTCTTCGGATATTGCTCGTCAAAACGCAGACGACACAAACCGTACGACGACATTATGATAAGGACACAGTCCGGAGAATCGCAGGCATACAGCTGTGAAAAAGATTGGATTAACTTTTCAAAATCAAATCAGGCCAAAAATAGGGCACGCCCATGTTGAATACTACTCCCTCCACGCCCAACGAATATGAATTTTCCCACAAGAATTTCTGGCTCTCCCATTGCCGGTCCACAACGAGAAGACAACCAAATACAGTAGTATTTTGCTTCCATAAAAATGAAAAATAATTCCACTTGTTCCAAAATCATTCGCATCCATCGACTAGAGAGTTGCTTCTAACCAAATTGTATTTTGCTTCCATTAGATAGAAAAATATTTTCACTTTTGTAGAAGCATCACGCTTTAGCTTCCATCTACTATAGAGTTGCTTCCAACCAAATAGTAATTTTCTTCCATCAAAAGATAAAAATCAGGAGGTTAGAAACGGGCAATTTGTTTGGATATCTCGACCGTTAGATGGAAGATGTATCAATGATGCACGAGGCAGGCGTCTGACAATTGCTTATTAAACTTGGCACTGGTAGTCGCATTTTTCTGGATTTATTTCAACCCTTTCGATGATGTGCGTTCAGTGGGAGCACCCGAGGAGAATCTCAAGATGTTACGTCGGCTCGTTATCTCAAAGGTGCTCATAGGGTAGGAATTAGGATGTGCATGTATTCATAGAGATGAGTGTATGTGTGTTTAAATAACCGGTTGCGATTGTACTGTGCTAAGAAAAATTGCTTATTAGCATACAGATACGTATAACAGAAAGTCTTTTCCTCTAGTTTTTGCTTCAATGACACGACGGATCAAGTGATACTAAGACATGGAAGAAATTTTCCAGGTGATTGACTATGATTGTGCTTGGCGTTAAGATTATGTCTCTCTGCACAGAGGGAATTACCAATCTTTTCTCTGTTGCTTGTTCAGATCGTCCATTCGCTTGGCTACATGATTTTATCTTTATAATCTCATATATTTTATAAGTATGTATTAACAAATTTTATATGCACAATTAATCAACTTTCTTAAATCAGTAGTGTGGGAATTGTTCTTAGAGATCTTTGTAAAACTTGAGATGCGTTTTAGTGCTGAATCAGAGCCACATAGAGATCTTGCTTTCAAGAGACTCATTGCCTCTTTTCTCCACATGGCAATCGATTTGTTCATAATTCGCTCGCTGCACGTAGGTGTATCAAGAAAAAGCACTTGTGGTTTAGGCCTCACATTACCTAGGTTGTATACTTGTATTACTAGCTAGAAACTTTTTTTTAGAATAAGCACGAGTGTGTATCTTGTGTTAATAAAAGAAGAGGGATAGAACCATGTCCACCAAATTACAACTCGTGCACAAGCCCACGTGACTCCGCCATACAAGTGAACTACTCACTACTCACCCGCCTAAACACCTCGACAAATAAACTCTCGAGATCCCCTCGGAGTAGCCTGGCCTCCAGCGAAGATCATCCCTCTCTACCTATCTTCCCGATTGCCCCGTGCACCGACGGAGTAGCTCCATCGAAAACCGCCACATTTTGGTGCTTCCACTATTGCCAGACGACGAGAAATAGCAAAGTGTGCGGGTTCTTCATACCGCGATCTTGTAGCATGAGGGATGCACTCCACGGCAGTAGCGTATCATTTTGGTGCTTCCACAATTTCCAGACAACGAGAAGTAGCAAAGTGTGAAGGTCCTTCATACCGCGATCTTGTACTAGCTAGAACTTAGCCGGCATAATTGGTAAAAGTTTAAACGCAATTTGCCGAACCAAATAGCAACAATTGCTAGAGTATTACTTGATCTTATTGCACAATTGTATTTCCACACATATATCAGGCATTATTTCTCTCTTGGGACAAGTAAATATGTAAGCCAATTTGACTAGGCTGGAAAACTAAGGAGCAGGTAAAGGAGGAGGGGTTGTCGTCGCCAGTAGCATGTCTTGTGAAGACGAGGATTTTTTACACGCTGCCTTGCATTCGGCCATAGTCCAGTAGCAGTTGTTATCTGCCAAACAACAGAAGCAATCTTCTGGAGTACTACGGCATTTACTCTTAACGCATAGCCCATTTGGTAAATCGATCTTCTCGCTATCCGTGTCATCTATGATTCGGCCTAGGGGATAACAAACGAACAATCGTTATGTGAAAAAGAAAATTAGTGAAGAATAAATAAACGCACAAAAGATTAGACAAGAAACAAATGAAAAAATAGGTTTTAGTAGCTATACTACATACTTCCAGGGGGAACTGGAAAAATTAAGTGTGCATAACCTGATTGGTGTGCTTACATTGAGCAACGGTAGCAGAGCATACGAGATATAGAGACAATAGGGCTAGTGCAAGGATGCGAATCGTGTACGTGTCCATACCCTGGCCGATACAGCAGTTGCTAGGCAGGCACTCACTTTGGTTGCCAATGAGAAATATTTACTTGTTGTAGAATATTTCGCTAGCAATCAACACATTACTCGTATATATAGAGAGACTGAGAGAATTGAGATCCGGTGCTATAAGTCATCCCGATCCCGTGCAGTAAACACCGAGCAATAAATTTGAAATTATTCCATAGTATGTACCCTCACTGAAGTCCCCAGGTGCATAAATCAAGATTATGTTTCTCCTTTTTTTAGACAAGTTTCAAAAAATGGTGAAAAAAATACAAACAGGTTAAGAAGTTATTGATTGTTGTAATTATCTCTTATGTTTATATTTCTATATTTCCAAATTGTGATTCTTCAATATTTACTGCCTTGTATGGTACAGTATTAGGGAATGGCTAGAAATCAGTCTGAATTTTTCATTCGTGGTCAGTCGATTTCTGAGCCATTGGACGCAAAATCAAAGGCCCGCAATGCTTCTTCAACCTCCACCCCCTTGAGCCACCAGCCACCACCGGCCCTCGCTGCCCCACCCTCCCTGGCCCACCACCGCGCCCCACCCTGCCTTCAATATTTACTGTCTTGTATCGTACAG